AAAATAAAGGGGTGCAATATATAAGTTGAAGCCCAAAAAGTGGGGTGATTGACCCAACGGAAGGTATTAAGTAGCTGCGCTAAGAAATTCACTGGGAGCAGCATAATTACTGCTAAAAATGATGACGTTCTAAATTTATATATCACTATATAAAGTATCCTCAGTTTCACCGCTTGACTTTAAAGGCGTCAACTTCTGAGAAACTTGAAAGATAAGCATATATACAATATATACAAATATTGCAATTTGAATATAAATAATTTGGTTCTAATAAAGTCGCGAGTTATTCGCTGCAAAACATATTTAAATGCTTTCGAAACCAACTCTTTTCGAACTAATCGGTCACAAGTTCTGCCACTTCAGCTATTTTTTAGTTAAACTTATATATTTTTAGAGTTTATTAGCCATCAAGTTTTAATTGATTTATCTAATTTTTGTCATATTAATGACAAGTGCTCCCAATTTGTGCTCAGAAAGCTAATTCAGCTATTTTTACATAGGGTTCAGCTAGTTTTTAAAAGATACAATAGGCAGCACTGAATGCAGCATACAACAATTGCCAATTACAACAGTTGCCAGATGTGCCTAAAGTAAAGTTTAATTGATCAAAATGATGAAATACTTAAAACTGGATGTAAATTTATAAAAAAGTGTATTATAAGAGTGGTTAATGTTCATGGAGTTGCCTGACTTTTTATTCTAGGCCTGAGAAAATTACACAAATGTAGAATTTCGAAAGCTTTAATCATGATTTTGTCAGGCAGAAACTCAAGAACATCGACAACACCACAAGAACAACTTCGAAATGCTTCTTGCATACCAAAAGTCTCATTTGGATTCCGTTTCTCATTCTCAGTTGTCAGCTCGAATTGCATTCGGTATCTGTTCTAGATCACTATCAATTAGTAGAAGCTGCTGGCTTATTTCTTCAATTCAAATGCCAAGTCTTCGGCTCATATGAGCTCCCCCAGCGAGTTGGCAAGCCGAGCTAATCTAAACGGCAGTAAACTATTTATTAATGCTAAAGGCTAACTGTCTGGCGGGTCTTTGGCATTCGTCTATCACGGCTGCTGTTGTTGTTTGGGATTTGATTTGGCTTTGCTTCTTTTTTTTTTATTTAATTGAAATGAATTCATTAAGCCTTTGATTTGCCTTGCAAATGGATGGAAAACAAACAGGGGGAAAAAAACAGCTCCATGATGCCTCTGACTTTACCTTTGACGTCGCTGAGCTGGGCTCAGCTCTCGACTTGACTCGGGGCCCGGCTAATGGAGTGCACATCAAAGCGCGGCCAGGTTTTACTGGGCTCGGGCCGTCGTCATGGCAGTTCGTTTAACAATAATTTAAGTTGAATTAAATATATACGAAAATTAACTGCAGCAACAGTTGCTGTGCTGCAGTGTTGCTCCAATTCGTTGCAGTCGACTCTGTGCAACTGTTGCACGTTTTGCATGTTAAGAAAATTGCTTCATTTACGTCCGCGCCGAATGTCAACCACGAACATGATAAACCGAGACCCAAAGCGGACATAATGAGTGACTTATAGGACTCGCCAGACGTCAGGGCAACGTATGAGCAGCGAGCATTTTTAAGTAGTTCCAAAAAAAAAAGAAACAGCCATGAAAAGCTCAACGGAAAAACAGAAGCATTTTGCAAAATTTTAATTATTTCCCGAGGCTCTTTGAAAACGATTTCAAGCTGACAATATGTGTGCTATTTAATACCCTGTAAGAGGGATAATTAATAAATACAAATTTGTATACATAATTATCATAGATCATACAAAATATTTATTTAAATGAATTAAAGATTTTAAGTGAAATTTAATAATGAATTAAAGCAGTTATTCTTCATATTTTAGAAGAAAAAAATGGTTTATAGTAATATAATTACAAATATTTTTAATATACCCATTTTTATAAACAGTTAATTAAAATTTTTCTTAAATTTATTCAATGCAAATTGAAAAGAGTTAAAATCTCAGAATCCCTTTCTAACAGCTTTGATTTTAAAAACTATTTCTTTAAATTAATGAATGATTTTAATGGCAATGTAATAACAAATTTGAACTAGCAAGTTCTGAAAGTATTTAAACAATAAGTTTCGTTTTCATGATATCGATATATATCATATTTTATAAATAAAACCCAGACTATTCGCATTGCCTGACCCTTTTCTGGCCAAAAAACTGTTCTAGACACTTGGCCACATAAACTTTTCAATTTGCTTGCAACAACAAACGGGTCAGTTGAAGCAACTGGCGAGTTATGGTTACGTGACTGGGCTGAAATAAAAACTTTGAGCCAAGTCTTGTTCGAGCGGCAAATTAAAATTGTTCAAAGTGCTGCCCCATAAGCTGCCGCCGGCCCACGTTCAGCTCCTTAGAACATCATAAGCTAATGGCACGTGCTTATCGAGCATATCAGTTCAGCAGCTCAAGCATTTTGTCACCATTGAGTGGGTTTTTCATCTCCGGTGAGACGACGATAAGTGTGCTACGAAAAAATGGAGAAATCAAAAAAAAAAAAAGAAAAATTATAATAATTGAATTTTATCGCCACAAAACTTGCAGATAGCAGCAAAATCAAAAGAAAGAGAGAGAACAAATGTTGGTGTGAAATTGTTGCAAATTGAAATTTATGAGTTTTATATTTGTGTTTTGTTAACTGTTTGCTTGGCTTTGCTGGCCATAGGCTAAATGCTTGGCCAATAAATTCAAATTCTATGGGCCGCATAGCAATTATGCAATTGTTTGTGCAGCAAATAAAATGAAGCCAAGTGTATCCGTTGGATGCAAATACTTTTGGCAAGCAGGAAGGCAGCAGAGCCAGTAGCTGCTGCAAATATCCAAAAACCAAACCAAGGCACCACCACCAAGCGTGTTCTGCCAGTCTAAAAACTCCAAATCGATATGCAAATAAACGAATGAGGCGTACACACAAATCGCAAAACGAGCTGAACTGAGCTGAGCCGCTGTTGAGGAGATGCCACGCCCCCTTCAAACCCTGCTCCCTCCATGGCACTCGAAAGCCGTTTTGACCAAATTCGTCGCTGGCTCTGTGTACCTGAGAAGACGGCAACTGTGGCTACTATTATAACTGCCTGATGCTGTTTGAGCCACAGCCAAAGCCAAAGCCAGAAAGCCTGAGCATTTGCTTTGGTGGTCCACTCCTGGCCATGGCTTTTTGCTATTGCTACCAATTGTGCATGCAATTTATTTTTAAAGAAATAATTGCTTTGCCGTTTCTCTACCAGCGATTATGCAAATATTAGTATTTGTTGTTGCTGTTGTCGTGCTCCACTCCTAACCAAATAACTCGGCATAATAATAATACTCGTACTTGAACGGCAAGTGAAAGAGTCCGTTTGCCACGTTTGCATATCATCCAATTTGAATATGCCACACACAATGCGAATCCTTTACACAAATTTCACATAAATCAATAAACGACAAAATTACATTTTTCTGCTTCTTAATCTCTAGTAATTGTCGCTGGCATTTTTGTTGACTGCCTGAAAGTATGTGGCAAATATTTCGGACAGAATACAAAATGTGTGCCGTTGAATTTACATAAATAATGTGTGCAAAGGTATATAACTAAAGCGACACTCAGAACTGGCATTTAATATAATATTTAAAGTCTATTGAAATGCTGGGTTCTGCATTCAAGCACATTTATCACTTTTTGCCTAGTTGTCGTTTCATTGGATGTGTTTAAAAACAAATTCCTCAAGTAGATGAATCTGAAATAGAAAATGGCACCAGTTAGAAATAAATCTTAAAGAGATAAACCTGCGATTAGCAATCGATATTAATTCGTTTCGACGCTTTGATATACCTAAGCGTTGTACCAGATACACTTGCAACATAAGAACAATTAATTTTTGATTCTGCTTTCATCAAATCCTTGATCATTTTGCTGGCTATATTTCAAATCCAAATTACGACTCTGAATAAGGAAAAACAAGAAATTAAAAAACGTTTTCGCTTTGCCTCCAATACAATATACTTATTCCTTTGCCTTGTCAAGGAATCGAAATGGTAATAAATTCTTCTACTGGACGGCTTTGATAGAAAAAGTTAAATGGAGTTTATAATTACATAGAACTTTTAACGGAATGCCAAATACCTGAAGTTCAATTTAAACCTCTTACATTTACTTTTAATTATTTTTCGATTTAATTTAATTTTTTCACACATCCAGCTGTATTTGCCAATTCCACGCTTGAACTGAAAACGCACACACACATTCAACTTATAACACGTCAAACTCCAAGCCCTAAGTTCAACTTGAAAACTTTCTGAGGGCAGATAAAAAAACATGCCACAGTTGTGGCATTTTTCTGTTTCTCTCTGCCGTCTTTTTGGTTATTGAAAGTGGCAGTAAATGAAATTGGCATCACGTTAATATTCTTCTGCTTCTTTGTTGCTTATTTTTGTTGTTGCCGTTGGACAGACATGTGGGCCTTGCAAAAGTTTATCTTATAAAACAACAACAAGCACTTAAGTGTTATATGCCACCGTATTACAACGGTCGAACCGTACCGAACAGAAAGAACGCAAGTCGCGCTCAAAAAGACCCAATGTGCAACGTAGCATAAATGAAGAAAGCTGATAAGAAAAAGTAACATACAAAAATAAAAAGTCAAGAAAGTAAGGCTCTCTATACCTATCCGAATATTTAATACCCTTGTGCCATTTCTCAGAAATGCGAGAAGAATTTGTAAAGCTTGTAATTGCTAAAAATATCTTGGGAAACAAAAAATGTTTTCATATAAAAACTCATTTCTCGACCTTGCCTATATTGATAAGATATAACTTATATTTAGTAGCATAGAGAAACTAACAAATACTTTAAAACCAAAAAAAGTTTGTCAAATTAGATATTAATGTTCGACTAATCGCTTTTTGTTATAGCGGTCCAATATTAACCAATATAACTAAAAAGACTAGCTCGAATAGAAACAGATAGACGAACAGAATGTATACCGGGGTCGGAGATGTCTTCTTCTGTGCGTTACACATTTAATGACAAAGTTATAATACCTTTTGCAAGGCTATAATAAGGCAGCAAAAAAAGCGGCACGAAAATTGCTGCCCGCATAAAAGACGTCGCTTAAAGGAAGACGAACAGCCACAGAGCAGCCAGAAAGTAATAATAAAATAAAACAGAAATTGAATGCTGCGATTCGTTTGGCGTGGCGGTGTTCCAGGTGACAAGCAATTCCCTACAGGTGCTGGCCAGCAGTTAACGGTGTAGTATGTGTGTGTGTGTGTGTGTCAGTGCGTTTGTGTGTGCCAACCGTATTAGCAATTGCCCTTAGCGCTATAAAACAAGGCAAACATTTTGACATGGGTTAGTGGCAGCATCGCCCAACAAAAAATGTGGGTAGGTGAAAATGAGGTGTAGCCCCAAACATCCCAGCGGATTGCCAATCGCCATGACCCTTCCTGCGCCTGGGTGTTGCACCCATGTCATGCCTCTGACAACTGGCGTTAACCAAGCTGGAAAGAAAGTCTGAGCTACAGTCAAAAATCATAACGTATCATATCATGTCATATCAGAGCATATACAGACGTTTTTAATGAGTTGCATTTTTTTTTTGTTTTTCCCCCGAACTCCATGCCAAACCGACATCCAATATTGCATTTCCGTTCATCATTTTTTTGTTTCTCTTATCTGCGGCACATTCACCACAGGTTGGTTACTTATCAAGGCGAGCCTCAGCGTGTCTGTCAGAGTGTTTATGATATGTTTGCCCTTAAGTTGAAAGTGCCAAAAGATATGAAATGCCGTCTGTAGGTTTCGCGCTGCCAATTAGCAGCATCTGCTGGGGCCATTGGCATGCAAATATTTATGAAGTTGAAGAGCGACTTCAAGTGGGTCCCCAACTTCCGTCACACAATAAATTCATAACAAGCCAGTAGAGTGCTCTTGGCGAGTGGCATCGACTAGCAAATACCCTCCACTTGCTGCTGTTTGCGTTAATGGCTTCAAGATGTCATTCGAATTTATGCACATGTCTAAAATTATAGAAAAATGAAATAGAGAAAAATTTCGAAAATATTCAATAAATGTTATGGAACTTTATGCTAATAAACTGCATACCAAAATGTAATGCCTCTAGCTCTAATAATCTCAAAAGCTTGGTTTAATAATCGATATTTATCGATTGCGAAGAAACATTAAGGCAGTTGTCAATTTTTTGAAATAAATTTGTGTATCCCACATTCAAAATGTAGCTCGCTGGGATTGATCCATTCCAATAGAAGAGCATGGCTAGATTGCTGTTGATGCTGATCAGGAATATATATAAACCATAAATCGCAGGTGACTCTTAAATATACCCTTTGTTCTTACCATTTTCGATGGGTAGAGGATTTAATCATACACACATACACTCTATCGCCTTGCGTGTGTGTGTGTGACATGCGACATTATAATGCCACATTATGTTGCCAGTGCGTGAAAGAACCGTACATCAGAGCATAACATCCATAAATCAAAATCCACAAACACACGCGACGTTTTCTATGCGCTGCGCTAGCTGCGCTGCCTGCGTGTGTGTTGCTTGTTTGTATCTGCTGCGAGTATTCGCAAAATTATTACACTTGACATGATTGAATATACCGCTGAGTATGAGAGTACATACCTACATATGCATATACATACTGACATGCACAAGAGGTACCAGTCGCGAGCGTTGCTGGACATTGGTCCACTCACATCGCCCGTGCCCTCCAAGTGTCCGCGCGTCTCTTTTCGAATGCGGCCGCTGCTCTGTGGCTGCGGCTGAACATAGTTTTTGCGCTGTCCCAGTGGGCAATTCCCGTTTCTCTGCTTGTATGTACTAAGTTGACATGGCGCATAAATGTAAGTGGCTACAATGTTGTTTAGTACACAGTACACTGTACATAATATTCAATTAAAATGCTTTAAAAGAGAAATTTAATAAACAGCAAATCAGACCGTCGTTCCAATTGGCAACGGTGGCCGTAAGTATCGATAACGGTTGGTTGACTTAACGAAGCTGCAAGCAATTTTCGAGTTCTGCATACTTGGCTTAGAGAAAAAACGAACTTTAAATTGCTGAAGCATTTTGAATGCATTCTTAAATTAATATATCACGATCCATTTTCTAAAATAGTATCTTTGTATATCCAGCCACTGAGTATTTTTGTCGTCTGTCACTGATCCGTTCGATACTTACGTGAAATCGATTAATAGCGATACCTCTTCGTTAACTGTTGCTTCGACTTGTCTGCAAATAGAAATTATATTTATGAAATACTTGTCACACTAGTATTCTAAACATTAAACTCATTACACACAATCACAAGCAACACAACACAACACAACACACCAGCACACTCCGTCAAAATTCCACCAAATTTGTTCAAAATTGTGTCCAAACTTTGGTGAGTTCAATGCAACAATTAAATTGTAATATATTGATAGGGTATTCTTTTAGTCGCCATGTGTCTGGAGACCATATCGACTAATAACAAGACGCTGGCTCTGATCAACCAAGGCTACAAGGTGCTAGCCGAGTACCAAATTATCGAGCAGAAGCAGTTAAAGGGCATCTATGCGATACCCAGCTATTCCAGCGGCTTGCTTTGGTTCGGTGTGATCTTCATACACAGCGGCTTGTATGCGGAGAGCGTGTTCCGCTTTTCCATATTGCTGCCAGATCAGTTTCCCGAGGAACCCAGTCTGCCCACGGTCATTTTTCAAAAGGACATCTTCCATCCACACATCTGCCCGGTATCACACAGTCTTGATCTGACGCCCCTCTTGAAAGAGTGGAAAAAGGAACAGCATCATATTTGGCATATACTTAAATACATTCAGGCGGTATTTGCCGATCCCGAAGGCAGTGTCTGCAGTACCCAAAACGGCGACCCCATTCCACTAACTGAGGTTAACAACATGGAGGCCATGCGTTTGTTAGCTAACAATCGCGTGGACTTTGCTCTACGCGCCAAAGTTAGTATTCTTTGGAGCTGCCAGCATATGTTTGATGAGCCGCCCATCAAGGATCCTCACTACATAATCTTCGAGCGCTATTGCCCCGAAAAGCATCAGACCATGATGGAACGCCTCAAGAGTCGCAGCTGGTACGAGCTATCGGCCCCAAAGACCCCAAAACCTTCAGTGTGTGTGGCTCGTATGGAGTCTGCCCGACAATTGCTTGAGGATGAAGAGGCGCAAGTGGTCAATACTGCTGGCAGCAGTCTGAATTAGCGGAGTAAGCTCTCGACTAGAACATTTTGGCATTCTTAAAGTAATTCGTGTGCACCGAATGGAAATGCAATAAGAATGCTCTAGTCGAGAAACGCACGCTACACGCCGTTCTATAATACATACAAAGTGTGTTAATTATGTTATGTATATTTGGAATTAGGTCTTGATCTTAAAACTTGTGTGCTTACAATAAGAAATTTTGAAAAACAACGATCAGTACTTTTTTCTTATGAAGTTATCGATTTATGTTTTTCGCAATCGATGCCAATGCATCTACTAACATCTACTAACAACAACTTAACAGCGACACTGTTGTAAGCAGCAACTACGTAGTGAAATGCAGCTCTGCGAAATGCAGCTCACGCTATTAGCGAATTTACGCGTCGGGTTTTCGCTGTGCTAAAAAAATTAATAAATGTTTAATAACGTAAGTGGCAATTAGTGGACAATATAAAGTGTGTAATTAGCTAATCAAAGAACGTTTAGTGTGTGTGCAATTAGATATGTGTATTTTAGGGTATGTGTGCTAAATTATATGTGCGGTGCGCGCAAAAGCCAGCCTGTCCAATTGGGTATGTATGTATGTATGTCTATATATGTACATGTGTGTGATTATTTGCATACATACATTGTTAAAGCAAAATTTTGGCGTTAAACATATCTAAAAATAATGTTTAGTTCCTTAAAGATTCTGTATTGCGCAATTAATGTTTACATTAGTTACCAGCATTCAACATGTTGGTTTGCCCGAAGTCCTATTGGCGGCCCAGACAGACGCCACAGCACAATCGGCGTGTTTAATGCCTTTTGCATTTGTGGTAAACTAACTGTTGTGTATGCAGGCGTGGGTATATTTACCCATTAGAAATTATTACAATTAGAAATTACAGAGCATACAATGATATATTGCGCAATTCGAATTGATTGCCATCAACATAACCTCACGACAACCTGCTGCGCATTTTTCTTATTGGAACTTCATCCCAGTTGGCTCTTTGTCCCTTTTGCGTGTTTGCTGCACTGATTTAATTGTAACACTCTGTTCCCAATGTAAATCAGCCTATATTGGTTTTGTTTTACTATCTGTATATCGACACTCCGTTTGGGAACTAGATTCTATAGCTGGATTATTGATGATCTTATAAGAATATTCTAACCATGCCAATTATTGCACCAAATATGGTAAGATTAATCGCAATAACCGTAAACATATACAGTTACAAGGTCACTTACATCTTGAAAGCTCTACTCTGCTTGCTTGTATTTTTTTCCCAACTCTGATAGGTACACTGGGCACAGATTTGCTTCACTATTAGATGTTCACACTCTGGGCACTCTGGGCACACATATTCTAACTGTTCTTTGCTGTTTTTCAACTGGGAACTGAATCGCTTTGTTATTTTCAGTTGTTCTCGCCCTGGGCACAGAACCTCTAACTGCTCTTAGTTTTTTTGAAGTGGGAACAGAGTACTGCACAGCCGAGAGCTTTCGACTGCTGCCTTGTTTTTTTTAAGTGTCCACCTTTTTTACCTGCCCTTGCCTTTCTGCGGCTCCCCACTGTTTTGCCTGCTGCACTGCATTAATGCTGTTAATAATGTCATCTTCCACATGCAATAATGAAAATTATAATAATTATGGAGCCTACTGCTGCACCACAAGCGTCATACATTCACCGTTACAGATTGTGGCAGCGTGCAATGAGACAGCTTGCAACTGGCATGCCGAAATATTAAAAGCCTGCCTCTTTGCATGCGTTGGGTTGCACGAATTGCACGGGCTCCCCACTTGGTGGTAGCTGTCGTCAGCTGCTGCAAAATATACAAAAGTGACAATTTGATTTATCACTGCACTTTATCCTGCTGCAGAGACTGTGTGAGGGGAAAGTATGGGAGGGGGAGGGGGGAGGGAGGGAGAGGGAGAGAATCGGGTGAGTCTCTGGCTCTGGCCTTGGCAGCGCTGCTCGTTAGCCAGTTGGTTGCGTATCCAAAAATCGTTCATGAAATTATGGATGCGAGTGCAATGTGCCATATTTTAGGCCATTTATGGCTGGGCTCTTAACTGCGTTCAGCCAAGTGGGCGACGACGCCACAAATTTTGAATACAGTGAAGACTCTACTAAGGGACAACTTTATTGAGTGAACAACTCTTTAAGTCAATATATTGTTTTTAGTTGCCAAACCATTTGCTTACATTTGCGACATTTTTTTTAAGGTGTGACTATTTAACTTGAACTGTGGTTGTCCTTTTAAGCGAGCTTCTACTGTTAGTGCACTGCATATCTTTATATATGTGAGCAGCTCTGCCTTTCCAAATACATGAACATGCACATGCTAAGTTGACAACATGGGAATTGCACACCAAACAGTTTTGGTGGTCCACATTTCAATGGCCTCGACTCAATTCCACTCGACTCTCTGTCTGACTGGCAGCCCGATTGGTAAAGCTTTCTGTTTTGTGGGCATAAAATAGATAACACATGTGAATCAGAAGTTATATAAATCACCGAAGCTTTAATAATCTGGTCAAAGAAAGAACGATAGTGACTGTAGTTCGGCGCTAGATTTAGGGTATCTACTAGCCGAGAACTCTCGACTTTCTTGTTGTGAAGGAAACTGATTCTTGGACCGAAAATGAATATGAATTATATCTGTATATATCTGTATAAGCACTCATGTAGTCTTAAAACTGCAACAAATTTATCTTTTCTATCTCTACAAGATGATCTAAAATTCAAGCACATCCGGTTAGGAGGCGCTTGTTGCCAGATTGAGACTGCTCGTTGGCTTTGTTTCAGCTTTATTTGTGGGGCGTTGCGCTTAAATTAAGACATATCGTATATATTGCTACGCAAGGCGTTAAGAAACAGAACAAGAACAAAAAACATTAACAATTAAGTTGTAATAAATTTAAGCTCTGCGTGGGCTGAACTTGGACTCGAATGAAAAGTTGGGTTGGTTTTTTATTTTATTTTTCCTTTATGTGGTTTTCAGCTTCAATTAAAAAGCTATAAAAATTGTTTCAAGCTGCGCGGGCAAAACACGTGACAAAGTCTAAAGTATATATAAAGGCCATTGTTATTTTTATTGATTTTTTTTTATTTTGGGTCTGGTCTCAACTTCAATCCCTGGTGAAATCGGTGTATATATATGCCCCCGCTGTTGCAGTTATCAACGGACATCAAAACAATTGCCACCATCGATGCTGTTCAAGGAGTTGGAATCGGCGATTCGTTTCGTTTCGTTACGTTTCGTTTCGTTTTGTCTGACAAGTTGGCGGTTTAACTAAACCCAAAAAGCCGGACTCGTATTCAAGTTCAATTGCAGCAACAGGTAAAACGCGCGCGGCACTCGCTGAATGGCCTGTGGGCAGAGCTTGAGCTACAGTTTTGGCTTTGGCAGCGTTTCGATTTCCTTGGAAAACCGCTAGAGACTTTGGCCCGGCTCTGCGACTGCTTAGCATTTGCCTGGGCCAAGACGTCGTCGGGGACACAGATTGGTATTTATATGCAAGTTCATGGCATGGCCGAAGCGCGCACACACATCATCATCGATTATAATCGAAATGGGATTGTAAATCAAATCGCATTCAATGGTAGTGACTTTAAAATGGGCTTCATTATCGCCAATGCCGGTGCCGCAGTTTGCAGTTGCAGTCGCAGTCGCTGTCGCAGTTGCAATCACCGCCGTCGCCTGCCTTTGCCCATTGTCGGTGGCAACTGCTGCTGCCGCCGTCGCAGACGTTGCCGTCGTCGAAGTGACATTCAATGCCATAATTTATGAGTTTATCTTTTTCGCGCCGCCAAATCGTACGCTAAATGCTGTCTGGCCAGACCAGGACAGGACAGAGCACAGCAAAGCACAGACCAGACCAGAACAGAACAGAACAGAGCAGAACCCGATCCATACCAGACCAGACCATATGCCCCATTCGTCTGTTCGCTCCTTTGGGTTCGCATATGCAAACAAACGGCTAACAAAACCAAAACGTGCGCATATTTTATGGCGCTGCGAATCCCATTTGTATTGGTATTGGTAATGGTAATGGTAATGGTATTCCTATTCCTATTGCTATTGCTATTGCTATGGGTAAAGCTGTTGCTGTTGCTGTATCTGCAGCTATTGGATTTTTAGCCATACACGTATCTATACGATTTCTGACTTTGCTCAACGCCGCCGCCGCCGTCGACGTCGATCGTTTAATGTCGGGCAATTAAAATTGGAGTTCTCTCTAGCTGTTGCGATATTTGTTGCCTTCTTTTTTTTATGAGTTATGGGCCGCGCTCACAGCGCCCTGCATAGCCGTGAGGTTCAATGGGGTTGGGTGTTAGTTAAAAGTGCCTCAGCTGCAGTCAATTGTTGTCATTGCAATTGCCAGGCGATGTGTGTGAAATATGTCGAAAAATATCAATACAATTGTTATGCAAAGGCATTGAAAAATGAATAATAACAAAATTTTGATTAGGTTCTGTTCAGTTGACAAGACCTGGATGTGTCAGGTAATATTATTATTGTGTTTTTATCTAGTTATGTATTTTCATATTGTTGAATATTTTAAATTTTTAAGGATTCTTTTCGGGCCTGTATAATTTGGTAATAATAAGATATATTTTTGTATATAATTTTTATCTTGCTTATTGTTTTTATTAAACGGATGTCTTTAGATGGTTGAATTGATTATGACTAAACTTTTGAATTTTGGTATTTTATTTTAATAGTATTAATAATGTTAAAGGGGAGTCTCACAATCATTGTATTTGGGACTCCGTACGCGAGCAGCAGTTGCTCGATCTTTCTGATAAAGAAGAGCAGTAATCTTGACGATGAAGCCCCGAGCTGGGCAGTCAAGCTAACTACTTAGATGCTTCCTCCTACCCAAAATTAATTAATTTTTTACTTCCTGAGAACTTTAATGCAGATCAATTCCACTTTACTTAACTACATTGATCTTATTTCATTGATTTAACTCAATATTTGTCCACATTTAAATTAATACATACCCAACAGACACAGCTTACATGTTTTCAAATTCCTTTGAACTTAAGATTTATTTATTTCTACAATTTAATACATTTTTCCTTTTGAATACCCTTAAACATGCTCTATTATTTTCAAATTATTAAAGTTCATTCAATTATCCAACACTATTTTAATACTATATGCGCATACTTACGTCGCATTCCAATGTTTGTTGCACTGATTTCCGTTTAGAGCACATTTCTCGGGACACAGCTTGCCGCATTCCACCGCACGTTAGCCACAAAGTGCCGACCAGTTCAGTTTTTGGTATCGCATCAAGCGGAGCGGCGCACAAGTTGCTCACTTCTTTTCAATTTCAACGCACTTGGCCATGTAATCACAGCCGCCTAATTCTAAACCGTTTTTCATGGCCGAAATGCGAACCGGTTGGCCAACTTTAACTAATACATCATTATGCTGGCATGTTGCAGGCTGTTGTTGTTGCAGTTGCTGTTACTGCGCTGCAGTTGTTGCTCGTAATAATCAATTACGCGTCAGGCACGATCTTGACGCGATCCTCGCATGCCATCATGGCCAGGCCAGCTCACATCATGAGC